TTGTACCAGTGCCCCAGCCCTGATACGGTCATTCTCTGTATTAAAAGTTCATTTAGAGGGACAAAAGAGTACATGTAAAACCTCCAACCTCCCAAATAAAAGATCCCTTTGGGCTGAAGAAATATGAGAGGGGGTTAAGGAATATGCTTCACATGTGACTGGCTGGGTGCTCACATCACAGTCTCCGAGCGCTGCCAGCTCACTTAGTGGTGAAGAAGAGTTAAGAAGGCAGCTGGCGCCTGACTGTGCCCCCTGGGATGAGTGCAAGCACCTGGCCTGGCTGAGCCCAGGCCGCTTTGCTCCCCGAGGTGCAGCAGGTCAACAGCTGGAGACACCTAGTTACTGGAATTACTGGAATTTCTGGCTTTCACACCTCAGGTGCTATTCAGGTAGGTCACTAAAAAACAAAACAAAAAAACCAGATGGGGCCAGAAAGATTAGTACAGAGGATGTGGCAGACCGGAATTTTGATCCCCGGTACCTCATCTGACCCCTGAGCATAGAGCCGGGAAAAAGACCTGAGCACCATTGAGTCTGGCCCTAAAACAAAAATCATTAAGAACTACGAGGCTCCCTCTCTCCCCAGAGGGATACGGGGAAGTAGGAGGGGCTGGAGTAGGCTGAAAGCAGGTTTCTCTCGTGCTACGTACCCACTCCCCAATCCCATTCCAGCCTGAGTCAGAAAAGGAATATAGCCTTTTATTGACTAAGTAGAACAAACTAAATACATATTTAAGTTTTGGTTCATTTATACAGTACATTAAATAAGTTATGCACAATTAAGTAACAAAGTTCCTATCAGTAAAATGACAAAACACAGAAAAAATCAGACTCTACTGCATCCTGTGGGTGGTTTCACATTCATCATCCCCCGTCCAAAACCATGCTGGTGGCTTTGTTTCCCATTTATTTACATTATTGGCTTGCTTTCACGGTTGGAGATTCCGTAGCCTCATCAGGAACTTGGAAAGCCACAAAAGTGGACCGAAGGCCTCTTAGCCAAATAGCACTTTCAACCATTCACCAACTGCTTAGAGCTGCTTCTCTGCCAACTCAAGGCAGGACGGGGCTGTCCCTGCAGCTGCACATGCCCTATTTGGTATCAGCATCAATGAGAAGACACTGGGCACTTCCAGGCCCGACCAGATGGGTCTGTTGGGAAAGTTCCATCTCTGGGACTGGGGCAGGAAAGGGGGATGCAAACCCTACCCTCAGGTTCCCAACCTTCTCCTGGTTCCCAACGGAAAAAGCCCCTGGGACCGTATCATCTTTGGAAAAGAGCATGTCAATCAATGCACGTGGGCAAGGAGGCAGGAGGCAGTTTTGGTTTTACAAGAACTACAGACACTCAGAAGTTGGAAGAGTATATTCAGCAGCTTGCCCACTAGCCCAGCCTGTGCCACCTGGGGCAGGCCTCCTGATAGCTGGCAGTCTGGGGGCCCTCTGGCTTTCGTTAATTTGGTTCAAACATCATCACCCAGTTCTCTGTAAATAGCTAAAAGACAAACAAAGCCCCCAAAATCAAAGAAAGAAAAAACACAAATCTAAGCAAGTTGGCTTAACTGACTCAGGAGCCTCAAAACCAGTTCTGAAGAAAGCCTCCAAGATGTGTTTGTATTTCCAATGATTTATTCAATCCATAATCCCTTCTACAGTTTCCAGGACAAATCGATTCCTGGTTATTATTTATGCTTTCACTATGAGAACTCACTACCGTACAATCCCACTGTGAAGCTGAACCCTCAGACTCGCCGAGATTCTTTTGGAACTAATCAGAACAATGTCTATACCCTTTTGCAAGCAGTGAAAGTGCAGGGGATCAATTCAACTTTGGGGCCCGGCTAAACAAGGTTAAAGCGTAGATTTTTCTCTCTAGAAATTGAAGATGCTCCTGTAGGCACCCGGAAGTGATGTGTTCCTGGTAGAATAACAGGTCCAGATGGGCCAAGAATGTCCACACTGCAGAGGATTGACCAGAGACAGGTATGTCCCTGTGCTGGTGGATCTGTCCTGTTCCCGCATTTTGACCCAGTAACAATCAGTTATGGCTCAGTGCTGCCTGAGGAAAGACCCACCTACTCTGTGACCTAGGGTCACATGACTGGGCTGAGCAGATGTGCTGAAGCCCTGGCCCTGAAACGGCAGGGACCCTCCAAAGTGGAGTGACCATAAGGTCGATGGTCTATTCCTGAGCAGATGGACCGAACCAGCTTCTTTCGGAGTCAGTTTTCACCATGGATGGAGTCAGGCACAGCGTGAGCAGTGGGAACACAAAGGCTGCCCGAAGAAACGCAGGTCCTGCTGCTGGCACACCTCCGAATACCGAAGCAGCTCACAATGGCCCTTTGGGCTTCCTGCAACGGTTCCTCACTTGGCAGAGGACAACAGCGTCCCATCACTGTAGTGCTTCTCACTGGGCAAGGACTTCGCACTCCAGGTGTGCTTAGGGTGGGGGTGGCAGAGTGCAGACCTGCCACTGCGATGCTCTTGGTGTCTGGGCTGACATCAAGAGCTTGTGACTATCCTGACAATACCGACCTTTGGCAGCACCACTCCAAGCCCCTTTGTCTTTTTTTTGTCCCTATGGACATGAATTATAAAGGCTGGTTTTCTAATCAGTTTAATTATTATTTATTTATTTATTGTTTTGTTTTCTAGGCCACATCCAGCAGTGCTCAGGAATTACTTCTGGGTTGCACTCAGGGGTCGCTCCTTGGCTCTGCACTCAGATCATATAGGGTGCTTTGAATTGCTTTTTTTGGGGGGGGTCACACCCAGTGGTGCACAGGGGTTACTCCTGGCTCTACACTCAGGAGTTACCCCTGGTGGTGCTCAGGGGACCATATGGGATGCTGGGAATCGAAGGCAAACGCCTTACCCGCTGTGCTATTGCTCTAGGCCCCGGTGTGGTGCTTGTTGTAGTTGAACCTGGGTCAGCTGTGTGCAAGGTAAGCACCTTACCTGCTGCCCTATCTTTCAGGTCCCTAATCAGCCTAATTTAGATAATTTTAATGAACTCAAGGAAAGAGTATGATTTGTAGTTCTATTCATGAGACTCGGTGTGGTATCAGCAGACACTGCAACAAAATGTGAATCTGGACTTGGCCTCCCTCGCTCCCAACTCTGCTTCCACAGGGCGTATTATCCACCCAAGCAGAGGGCTGGAGAACTGCAGGTACAAGGAAGCTGGTGGAAAGGATTAAATAAAATTGGGGCTCACACCTGGTGGTGCTCAGGGCTTATTCCCAGCCCTGCAGACAGGGATCGCTCCTGACAGGCTTGGGGAACCATATGGACTGCTGGCCTGAACCTGGGACAGTCAAGTGCAAGCCCTTACCTGCTGTATTATCTCTCCAGCCTGGAAAAGGGTATTTTCCTATCTACATAGGAAGGAAATCTTAGCAACCTCTGTGTGAAAATAAGCAAAATTAACAACCAGAGTGGTAGACTGCCTAGATGTTCAGTGAAGTCTCTGAATCGTGAACAAGGCGGTGTCAAGTAGCATTATAGAGACTCAGGAAACTAAGTTGTCATTTGAAAGCAAGAGCCCATATAAGCAGGCCAGTTTGTAAACTAAACCTTAACTATACAGATTGACATCAACCCCTGGTAAACAGCAGTCTGATTGTAACAGCCAGGAAGATCTGAGCTACACTAGCTAGTGTTGTATATACTTTAGAACCTGCCAGGCGGAGTGTTCATCCAAGTTCTCAATAGTCAGTGAGCCAGGAACACCATGAGACACCTTTTTTTTGGGGGGGGGCGGGGCGGGGTAAGTGGTACTATGGGAGGGCTCTCCCAGCACTGCTCAGGGCTTACTCCAACTCTGTTCAGGGATCAGCCCCCGTGGGACTCGGGGACAACATGTGGAGCTAGGGATGGATCCTGGGTTGGTGGCATGTAAGGCAAGCATTTTACCCCTCTATTATCTCTTTGGCCTGAGATAACGTTTTAGCTCTTAGCCATGTATGGGTTCCATGGCCTCCTCCCAGGAAATTCCATATCTTAAGGAAATGTAGGCTATATTCTATCTGGGAAGTGGACTATAACCCTGTGAAAGACCAATTCCATGAAAGGAACAAGTTATTTTCTGGGTATACCACACTTTAGGCCAGGGATTGAGAACTTCTGGCTGTGGACTGTAGAAGAGCCACAGAATTCTGCGGAATGGCCCTTTATGTAGTGTGAGAGAGATGTATGCTTTTTATTGGCTGCCATGGCCCTTTTGCCTCTATTGTATGGCCTCCAGCAGAATACAGGTTTCCTACCCGAATAGGAAATGAAAATCCTGGCATTATAAAGATGTTTTATGCTGAGTTTGTAAGATATGAAATTCCTGGGGAAGGGAAGGAGGGACATAGAATTTAATTTAAAGTTCTTAAAGTAAATTATATGAGGACAATAGTCCCTAACTTTGATCTGTGTACAGAAGGTGAACATTAGAAATGTGTCTTCAAGGGCCAGCAGAGCAGGACCAACCAACTCATTGATTCCTTGATGGGAGTGCAGACTGGTCTGGGGTGAAGAGGGTCAGAGTTCTTGGGCCCCAATAAAACCCAATGGCGGGAAAGATGTGTGGGGCAGTTAAGAACATTTTAAAGGTGTAATGTTTGGAGAGCCAGGCAAACAACTGGAAAACTCTCTGAAGATGGGTAGGAAAATTGGTCAGCCTTTCTCAAAATGGTTGTCATTTCTCACAGAACTTTTCTTTAGCTGCAAAAGGGGAGGTGTCAAATAGATTATACAAAAAGGGGGAAACAGATTGTATGCCCAATTGTAAGCACAGTATATATATATTATGAAACTATGAGGTTTGAAGAATTCATTCAGGTCCAGGAGGGCTGCTCAGATATAACCAGGCCTGGACAGCTGAGGCAAGAACTAGCCTATGGGAGAAGTGGAGTGTAAGAGGCACCGACTAGAGTATGGGAGGAAGCTCTGTGCAGTGATCCAGACATGCCTGGTCTGATACAAGGACACAAGAAGATTGTGCAAACAGCACGCGGTGACAAATGGTTCTGCATTTCCATACATGATCTGGTCAATCGTTTGACGATACTAGTTTGGCCAACATGCTCAGAGAGAACAGAATGTCCAGTCGAGTCTCATTCTCTCTCAGACCAATCCATGCGCAGGAAACTATTGTCTGCACAAGCAAAATCAAAGAGAAGAAAATAAAGGGGTTCCAAACGGGTTCCAAACTAGCCAACAAGGTTGCAAAATCTTGTCCAAAAAGATCTATGATACTTGGTGGAAGTTTTATTGATTTTTAAAAATAACTGGTGTGCTTTTATGAATGATGACTTCTTTCCTGTGGTTTCTGAGAATCTTAACAAGTCTGAACAGCAAGGATGAGAAGAGTCCTGAGTGCTGCTTTTCACTTGCCCAAGCCCTGGGGAGGCTGATCAATGGCATCTGTTGAGGTTGGAAAAGAGACTCAAGGAGCTGTCTGGAATGAGAGATCCATTTCCTGTCAGAGGGAGCTTCCTCCTTAGCCTGTTAGCCTCCAGATTTCTGTTGTGGGAGGACAGCACCTGTGGTGAGCTGGGTTTAGCCTGGTGGGCACACTGGCAGCCCATGGCTTCAAGGGGCTCAAGAGGCAGGAGGGGAGCTGGTGGTCTACACTGGAAAGGGGTCACCGTACCAGCATCATTTGGAAGAAGAGCTAATCAGGGAGTCATGGAGAAGACAGCTCTGGCCACTAGTTCCCAAGGACACAGAGGAAAGTGGGCAAGTGTTGGGAGAGGCTGTGGAGGGGACTGACAGACTCTCACTCTTCTTGCCTCCACTTCCCTTCTTGCTAATGACCCAACAGTTATTAGCACTGGTTCCCACAGCCAGACCAGGGCAGTGTGGCACTGTGCTGTGAGGTCATCAGGGTCAAGTGGGTTTATTGCTCAGAGTCCATTGGTGTCAATAGCTGTCACAGAGGCAGGCGTAGAGGAGCGTGAGGTGGTTGCTGAGGTCTTGTCCAGAGCTGGGCTGGGCACACTGCAGTCAGCGGACCTGGCTGAGGAGCCCCTTCCTCCAGGAAGCAGCGGTCGGCTCTGACTGTGGGGACTCTGGCCGTGCAGGCTCTGGCCACACAGACGGTGGTGCCGCTCCCAGTCCTTGTGCTGGCAGAAAGAGCCGCAGTATCGCGCAATATTGCAGCCACTGCAGGTCTCGCTGGCTTTGCGGCCACAGTTCCAGCAATTCTGCAAGATACAGGCATCAGTTAATTGCTTGAATCTCATAGGGCAGGCTTGTCATCACTTGTTACCTGCATTGCAGCAAAAGGGGCTGTGTTTGGAGGCCCATATGCCTGACTTTGTCCTGCCTACAGAGCAATCCGTGCATGGAAAAGATACATTCCTTTCTGAGTTCCTTTAGCTGTAAAACTTCCTACCATGGATTTGCATAGCTTTGTTGTAGAGTGGTGGCGGCTCCACCTTGAAGGCGACCAACTCATTTAATTTTATTTATCTGGCTTTTGGAGTCACATCCAATGATGCTCAGGGGTTACTCCTGGCTCTGCACTGAGGAATTACTCCTGGCGGTGCTTAGTGACCATGAGGCATGTCGAGAATCAAACCAGGGTAGGCCGCATGCAAGGCAAACGCCCCCCTGCTGTACTATTGCTCCGGCCCCAATCAACATATTTTAATCTTCAGTGAATAAACTAAACCCTGGCCCAACCCCCCCACAATAGTAACCCACTTTAAAACCACACATACATACATGTATTAAGAGAACCATTTTGTTTGTTGTTGTCTCTCCTCCCTACAGGATCTTGTTTTCAGTGATAATACCTGATCTGAAAATGTTACTGGCTTGGTGCCAAGGGCGAGCATTAATGGGCTGGAGTGTCACACCCACCCCCCACGACTCCCAGGTACAGAATATCACAGGGAGAAAATCCCTAGCGTAGAGTCGGAAGGAGCCCTTGAGCACGGCCAAGTAAGGCGCCCAAACAAACAAGGAGTCATCAAACAAAGACCAGGATGGGTGAGCTGGAGAGTGAGTGAGCCAGCTGTGCTATTGGCTTCATGCCCATTTCCTTTCAGTCCTGTGTCTCACCCCAGGTGGCTTAGGGGTGGGGGAATACTCTGGCAGTCCCCCCAATACTTCAGAACTCAAGGCTTGGTGGTCAGGGTTCAGGAGGTTTCCTTTTCTTTGGCATTTTGCTCAGGTTCAGCAGTATTTCTAGAAGGGGAGGAGAGAGGAGTAGAGCATCGATGGGCAAGCATTTTCAGTTAGGGTTAGAGGTAAGAGCCATGAGGACCAAAGAAATAGTAGGGTGGGTATGTGGCCGACTCTGGTTCAATCCTTGGCACCCTAGAAGTGACCCAAGACTGCCAGGATTGACCCTGAGTGCAGAGCCAGGAATAAGCCTTAAGCATCACCAGATGTGGCCCCCAAACAACCCCCCGATGAAAGTAGCAGTCATAAAAGCAGCACCACCAATGTAACATTTCTCCTGGTGAATTGAGGAAGAAAAAGCATCATGAATAATGTAGTCACCAGAGTAGAGTCCAGCAGCTGCCCGCTGGTATGCTCCTTCCTCAGATCTCTGGGAGAACTCCCTCAGTGATACATGAATGTACCCCCACCATACCCAGGACCCATCAATAAGAGAAATAAGAGACCACGTCCAGAATATGAACTTCAGAGGTAGCTCAGTGATCTGACTCCAATGTCAAATATAACAAAAACAACAACAAACGGGACTACCTCAAATTAAAAAGTTTTTACCAGGGGCTAGAGAGCTAGAACAGCTACTGGCCACCTGCATTGCATTACGTTCAATCACTGGTACACCATACAAACTGCTATGCCCCGCCAGGATTGATACCTGAGAGCAGAGAGTCAGGAGTAGACACTGACAATTGCCACGTGTGGCCCAAAAACCAAAACGGAAAAAGAAAAAAATTGTGTGTGCAAGTAGGGGACACAGCCAGTAGACATACAGAAAGTGTTCACTGTCACTTATTGTGTGTGTGTGTGTGTGTGTGTGTGTGTGTGTGCGCACGCGCGCGCGCGTGCACGGAGGGGCACTACACCCAGTGATATTCAGGGATTACACCTAGCTCTGCACTCAGGAATCATAGGAATCACTCCTGGCAGTGCTAGAAAAAACACATGGATGCCAGGTATCAAACCTGAATCGGCTGTGTGCAAGGCAAGAGTCCTACCTGCTGTACTATTGCTCTGGGCACAATTGTTGTTATTAGGGAAATGCAAATCAAAATGACAATGAGATATCACCTCACACAATAGAGAATGGTATATATAAAAAGACTGGAAACCACTAGTGCTGTTGGGAATGTGCTGAAAAAGGAACACTCACTCATTCTAGTGGAAATGTTACCTGGTTCAGTCTCTATGGAAAAAGCAGGAATGGAGTACAATGGGGAGGGCACTTGCCTTGCAGGTGGCTGACATGGGTTCAATTCCCATCATCGCCTATGGTTTCTTAGCCCCACCAGGGGTGATCTTGGAGCATAGAGCCAGAAATAAGCCCTGAGCACAACAGAGTTGTGGCTCCAAAACAAACAAAAAGAAAAATATTATAACTATACTACATAAACAACAAGAACAATAAAAATAGTTATGCATGTGAAGCTATTGGAAAGTGGCAAGTCTATCTTGGTGGTCAGGGGGCCTTGAGCCAGTCTTCTCTGCCCCACTAAAGTTCTCCAGAACGGCAGAAACCAATCATGACGCCAGAACTGCCTAGTCCTAGAGTCCCCTGGAGGAAGAAAGATACTGTGCCCAATGAAGCCAGAATGCTTGTTCAAATAAATAACAAACAAGTGCTGGAAAGGACCTTTGGATGAACCACTGGACTTTATAAAGATGGAACACTGAGAACTAGTGTGCATTGTCTAACGGTCTAATTAAATGACTACAAAAAGCCCCAAACCTGTCTTCCTGACTCCTCTAGATTCAACAGTTTAGTTTTAAGGAGTTTTAGAGTGAATTATAAAATTCCTTCCAACACAACAGACTTTTCAGGAAATAGACTCCAGGGGCTGCTGAAACTTGCCAACATCAACACCAGATGACCAAACTAGGAAACAGAAGTGTTTCTCAGGTTACATTTAGAGATCTTTGAGCACCCTGCATTCCAGCAAGTTTCAAATTTTTGAGTCTGAGAGGCTGACTCCACACAAAGTGTTGGCAGAACACAATGACTTACAGGCAAAAATTCAGTTACCATGTTCATAGGAATACTGAGGGAACAGAGGACAGAGGTTCAGTCTCAGCCAGCTGAGACCCTCCATATTGAGCAAGAACATCTTTTTGGGGGGTTTGTTTTTTGTGTCAACTTGGCAGTGCTCAAGCTCTGCACTCAGGAATTACTTCTGGGGGAGCTCAGGGGACCATATGGGAAGCCAGGAACTGACCTGGGGTAGGATGTGTGCAAGGCAAATGTCCTACCTGCTGTATTACTGCTCTGACCTCAATTTTTGTCTTTGGGCCATAGCTCAGCTGGAGGTGCTAGGGGCTTACTCTGACTGTGCTCAGTGACACTCTTGGTGTTGTTTGGGAGATGAACCCAAATGTGGTGCTGGGGATTGAACCTGGGTTGGCTGCAAGTAAGGCAAGCATCTGACCATCTTTAGTCCTACCATGAGCTTTCTGGTTAAGACACGGCAAATTTTATTGCTTTGACTGGTAAGAAGTGCAAAGGGCTGAGTGCATGAGTTTGCATGTCAGTGTTTGTTTGGGGTTCAGTAACATGCATCTTCTAAAAGAAGTGTCACCTAAGCACTGTTCGATATGGCCCCCATATAAAAAAAACCAAAATAATATAGGTGGCCAAACCAGTTCTTTATTTTTATTTATTTATTTTTGCTTTTTGGGTCACACACAGTGATGCAGAGGGGTTTCTCCTGGCTCATGCACTCAGGAAATACTCCTGGTGGTACTCGGGGGACCATTTGGGATGCTGGAAATTGAACCCAAGTCGGCCGCATGCAAGGCAAATGCCCTACACGCTGTGCTATCGCTCCAGCCCCCAAACAGTCCTTTATAGTTAGTGTATGTGTCGGAGGGAGAGGCTACTGAGGTACTGACTAGGAAGTCAGAAATGAGTTTGGTCATCTGGTGTTTCCTAGTTTGGACATTTCCTTTGTTAGGCATGGCCACTGTTTATGCCATTAAAACTCTAAGAGTAGGTGCTGGTGGGGCTGAAGCAATAGTGTAGCACACAGGGCATTTGCTTTGCATGCGGCTGACCCGGGTTCGATCCCTGGCATCCCATACAGTTCCCCGAGCACTGCCAGGAGTAAGTCCTGAGTGCACAGCCAGGAGTAACCCCTGTGCATCGCTGGGTGTGACCCCATAAAAATGAAATAAAATAAAAAAGGTAAATGAATAAACTTAAAAATTAAAAAAAAATGTAGGTGCTGGAATGATAGAACAGCAGGTAGACAGCCATGCTCACACCTGATCTCCACAGATTCAGGACAAGCTTATCCATGAGAATGAATCTGCTGAAAAACTCAGGTATGTGGGTTTTGTGACAGAAATATCCAGGCTCTCACGGAGTCGGGAATGGGCGACCTCCCGCCACCTCCTTGTGCTTCCTGGAGTGGGGTGATCACAACCACGAACTGCCTCTGCCCCATATAAGCTCATTAAAGGACACGATCCAGACACTCACAAATAAATCTCAGAAGAGAAAGAGAGCAACACGACAAAGTGATGCCTCTGCAACCCAAAGTCACCATCCAGTTAAAAGTTTAACTCTAGGGGCTGGAGCGATAGCACAGCGGGTAGGGCGTTTGCCTTGCACGCAGCCAACATAACTGACACAGGTTCGATTCCCAGCATCCCATATGGTCCCCTGAGCACCGCCAGGAGCAATTCCTGAGTGCATGAGCCAGGAGTAACCTCTGAGCATCACCGGGTGTGACCCAAAAAGAAAAAAAAAGTTTAACTCTAGCTGTATCACCCTATTTAAAATTTTAGAATTCCTGGAGGATGTGGCTGCATTTGCTGTGCAACAACTCATATCCTGCCCCCTGATGTACCAAGAGTAGCACACCACATGATGGGGTCTAATGTAGAAAGTAACACACACACACACACACACACACACACACACACACACACACTAGCACACAAGCGTCAACCTGTAACAACATGTTACTAATCTCTTATACGAGGGCTTAATGGTGAAATAACCAGGGTGAGATACAACACTTCACACACTTGCCTTTAAGGAACAATTTTTGGATCACTTTTAGCGGATTACTCATAACAAGCAACACAAAATAAACAATGGTGGTGGGATGGTCTTATACAAGGGCCTAATGGCTCCAGGGTAAGATATAACACACTTCACACATTTGCCTCTAAGGAAACTTTTTTGGATCATTTTTAGCAGATTATTCATAACAAGTAATACAAAAATAATGGTGGTTGGATGGCATACTGGTGTCAAGATTGGTTTTGGAACATTGAATGCAATAAATTATTGTGAACAACTTAAAAAAATAAACAAAGAGAGGGGACAGAGTGATAGAATGATATGGTGCTTGTCTTGTATGTGGCTTATCTGGGTTTGATATCCAGCACTTCATATGCACCCCTGAGCACTGCTGGATATGGAACAAAAAAAAAACCAACCAACAAACAAATTTAGGAAGATACTTACATATCTTACATATACAGAACTATATACATACAACTGAATAGTGAGTGGCATTAATGCTCAGGAATACTGGTGAAGAAAAGGAGGTGGAGCGAAGGAAAAGTACAGGGTTAAGGAAATCCTCAGATGACACATTGTTTAGGTGTTTTCATTTTCACATTGCCATACTCTGCACTGCTATACTGAAATGAAAATTATTTTGCCACACCCACTAGTGCTCAGGGATCACTCCTGGCTGGCTTGGGCGACCATATGCAGTGCTGGGGATCAAACCCAGGCTGGCAGCATGCAAGGCAACTGTCCTATCCACTGCACTATTGCTCTGGTTCCTGAAATGAATTCAAGTAAAATGAGAAAATGTCTTTTTTCATTTTGTGATTTTTTTTTTTATCATACCTGCTGATATTCAGGGGTTAGTCCTGGCTCTACACTCAGGAATTACTCCTGGCAGTGCTCAGGGGACCATGTGGGATCCCAGGGATTGAACCCAGGTCATCTGCCTGCAAAGCAAAGGCCCTACTCATTGTTTCAGCACCAATACCTGTTGTTTTGAAAAACAAACTAACCCCCAATCCCCGGTCAAATTTTTTGGTTTACTTGCACCATACAAGGCAGTACTTAGGTCTTACTCCTGGCTGGCTTGAGGAACTATAACGAGTACTGGGAATTGAATCTGGGTAAGCTGCATGTAAAGCAAGTGCCCTATTTGCCATACTATTTCTCTGGCCCTTTAAAAACCAAATTTTGGGGGCTGGAGAGATAGTATAGTTGGTAGGGTGCTTGTCTTGCATGCGGTTGATCCAGGTTGATCGCTGGCATCCCATATGTCCCCTTGAGCACTGCCAGGAGTGATTCCTGAGCACAGAGCCAGGAGTAATCCCTGAACATCATTGAGTGTGACCCCCAAAACAAAAAAAATCCCAATATTTAAAACTCCAAAAGAAAGTCCCAAGGATATTCTAACTTGTAATGTCCCATTACTAGCTTGATGACCTAACTAGTAATGGGATCTATTTATTTCACAGAAACAAGGTTGTTTCATGTCTAATGAGTTTTCCTTGAAGTTGAAAAATGATCAAAAAATTTGATTACATTAAAAAGACCATTTTGGGGCTGGAGTGATAGCACAGCAGGTAGGGTGTTTGCCTTGCACGCGGCCGACCTGGGTTCGATTCCCAGCATCCCATATTGTCCCCTGAGCACCGCCAGGGGTGATTCCGGAGTGCAGAGCCAGGAGTAACCCCTGAGCATCACCGGGTGTGACCCAAAAATAAAAAAATAAAAATAAGAAAAAAGACCATTTTGATATTTTGGCTATAAGCTTTTTCAATTCTTTTTCTTTTCTTTTTTTTTGCTTTTTGGGTCACACCCGGCGATGCTCAGGGGTTACTCCTGGCTCATGCACTCAGGAATTACTCCTGGTGGTGCTTGGGGGACCATATGGGATGCTGGGAATCGAACCAGGGTCGGCCATGTTGGCTGTGTGCAAGGCAAACACACTACCCGCTGTGCTATCGCTCCAGCCCAATTCTTTCATTTTTATGTATCACTGTCATATAAGAATGTCATATAAGTGGTCAGAGTGATAGTACAATGGGCAGAGCACCTGCCTCACACATGGTCAACCTGGGTTTGATACATATAGTCCCCCAAGCCCACTAGAAGTGATCCCCTAGTGAGTCCTGAGCACTGCCAGGTGTGGCGCCAAAATAAAACAAAAAAGAACATTATATACATAAGAATCACCAATTTCTGGGATTGGAGTCTTGTCACAGCAGGGCAGGAGCGCATACTTTGCATATGGAAGCTCCAGGCTCAATCCCTGGCACTTCATGATCCCAAGCCCTGAGACAGGAGAAGTTCCTGAGTACTGCTTGGGTATGACTTCAAAAGCAAAAACAAATAAAAAAGAGGTCAGAGTGATAGGACAGCAGCCCTTAGTGCATCGGGCTGACCTGGATTTGATTCCCGGCATCCCAGATGGTCAGTGCAGAGTCAGTGGCAACCCCTAAGCAAAAACCAAAAACCAAACCAAAACCAAAAAACTAGGGCTGAGGTGATAGCACAGCAGGTAGGGCGTTTGCCTTGCATGTGGCCAACCTGGGTTCGAATCCCAGCATCTCATATGGTCCCCCAAGCACAGGAGTAATTCCTGAGTTCAGGAGCCAGGAGTAACCCCTGTGCATGGCCAGGTGTGACCCAAAAAGCAAAACAAAACAAAACAAAACAAAAACCCCAAAACTATACACACAATTTTTTTAAACCTATCCTATCTGAAAATAAACCAGAACCCTAAAGCCTGTATTTCCTTACTCCCGAATCTTAAATTCACTGTGGGATTATCACCAGTTAGAGTCCCTCATATGTAATAGTTATTTACATTTGCAGTTTCCTAATTTGCAAATGCAGGGTACAAGAATCAGGCCATTTTCAGAAATGCGTCAGTCCCTGCAGTAGGTTACAGGCGCTGGGCCACCCCAGGTGGGAATGGGTTTTGTGCCTTGGCCTGTTCCCCCTGGTGGCCTGATGGCCACCATCCTTCAGAGGCCACCGGACAGTCAAGGTTTGGGCCCTCAGTGGCGAGACACACAGGGCCTCATGGGATGGGGGTGGAGTCGCCCCTTTTCTCCCCATCCCAATGAGACCGCGAGTCACTGCCTAAGAACGGCCTCTCTGGCTCCTGATCAAGCTGCTTAATGGCCATGATCCCAGAGACTCAGGAAGAAATCTTGGAACCTAGAGCAGGTTTTGGCAAGAAATCCCTCCAGACTTAATTGCTGAAATTTTGGAATTTCAAAATCGCATGGTCACTACTGCAGCCACGCGGCATCATATGTTATTCATGACCAGTAATAGAAAACAAATTGTCTACTATTGCCTTTTCGGCAGATCTGAGTATTGGGGTAAAATCCCAAACAATAATGGTGGGTGTGGTGTCGAAATGTTGAGTGTAATCAAAGCATAGAGAGAGTAATTTGGAAATCATCTGCCCCACACGGTAGCGGGGAGGGTGTGGAATGGGGGTATACTGGGGATTTTGGTGGTGGACACTGGGCACTGGTGAAGGTACAGGTGTTTCATTGTATGACCGAGACTTAAACCCGAAAGCTTTGTAACTGCTCTCACGGTGATTCAATAAATAAAATTATAAAAAATGGAAAAAAAAAGTAAGGCGGAGTTCATGCACAATTCAATCAGCCTAATCAGTGGCTGAATAAATAGCAGTACTCCTACATAAAAAAAGAAAAAAAAAAAGAATCAGGCCATTTTTATGGAAAAAAAAAAGATAATACCTTGCTCAATTCCTCAAACTATCTTTACACCATTTTGAAATTTAAACCAAGATTTTAAGTCAAACTATATGACTGCTCTGTCAAGAAATAGAACCCTTCTGGCATTGGATAAAAAACGTAACTATATGGGGCTGGAGCAGTAGTATAGTGGATAGGGAGCTTGTCTTTCATACAGCTGATTTGGGTTTGATCCCCAGCACCCCATATGTCCCTTGAGTCCCGCCAGTAATGATACTGAGCACAGAGCCAGGAGTAAGCCCTGAGCACTTCTGGTTATAGGCTAAATACCCCTCCCTCCAAAACTGTACATGTCCAGCACTTGAGAAGAAAGCAGAGGGCTTGGTTGCTCCTGCTAGCCCCCAGCCCAGCCCACAGAGTTAACGTGAGTTCTGACCTCTGTTGATTCTTCTTGTTCATTTATGACGAGGAATGCATCCTCTGCAGCCTGCCGCTTGACATCTGCTATGGTCTGCTCCATTCGAGCTCGTTCGGTTGCAATCACTTCAAAGGCTTTTTGCTCTGCCTCAGCAACAGCTTTCTGTACCTCTGACATCGCCTGTATTTTCACCTTATTCACAGCTTCTTCTAGAAGAAAGCGACAGTAAAATCAACTGGCCGAGAAATCTTTTCCCTCCCACCCCACACCATTTCTAGGAGGTGAAATAAGATGACTCTCTTCTAAACTAACACAGGATAAAAATTTTGGGATTCCCGGAGAGTGCGGCTGCAAATATGCCACGTGAGATCTCAAACTTTACAACACTGATAACCCAGGAGTAGCACACCAGACTGGATGGAATGTAAGTCAACCAATCTCAATTAAAAAAAGTATCAACATAGAAGGCGTAACCTGTAACAACATCTTAGTAATCTCTTGTACAAGGGGTTAATGGCTCCAAGGTGAGATACAGCAATCTTCACTTTCTTCTAAGGAAACGTTATTTGATCATTCTTTTAGAAAATTATTTATAACAAGCAATATTAAATACATTATTGAGGGCCTGCTATCAAGGCATGCTTAAGGGGTAGTCGGGAAAACTGAAAATAATGGTGGAAGGTGCAAGGGATTGGTGTTGGAATATTGGATGTCTGTAATAAATCATAATAAACAACTTTGTTAAAAAAAAAATGAAATGAAAGTGGTAAAAAAAACGTAAGAAAATAAAATCAAACAGGGAAGCCTGGAGAGACAGTACTATGGATAAAGCCCCTTGGGCTGAGATGCAGATGGAAACAAATTTTTGGAAAGTCTTGAATCCCAAACTTTTTGGGGGGTTTTGTTTTGGAGGTCACACTCAGCTGTGTTCAGAACTTAATCCTGGCTCTGTGCTTAGGGATCACTCCTGGTGGTGCCCAGGAATACACTGAGTGCCACGGATCAAACCTGAGTCAGTCGCATGTAAGGCAAATGCCTTGCCTGCTATTCTCTAGACTCCTGCATCCCTCAATTTTCTAAAGAAAAAGCACTCTATGCAGGGGCTGGAGAGATAGCACAGAGGTTAAAACACTTGCCTTGCAGGTGGCTGACCAAGGCCTTGATCCCTGTTACTGTATGGCCTTCCAAGCATGACCAGGAGTATCCTTTGAACAGAGCTGGAAGTAGTGCCACCCCTACTCAGGAATACCAGATATTGTCCAAATGCCACCCCCCACCCACTCCTTCTGAAAAGGGGTTCTAAGCAAAAAAGAAGAAAGACAGATAAGAACAGAAACATTGGGATAATAATCCAGGTGACAGAACATATACTGAAATAGCCAGAAGCAAGTGGTGCAGAGGAGGGGATGAGGCAGAATGAGGGTGGTGGCATTTAAGAGTCTGGTTGTGGTGTTATGCAAACGAATTGACAATAGGCAAAAAGTTGGTTTGGAGGACAAATGAGAAAATCAGGGTGCCTCTGAGGCAACCAGTTTCAAATGACCAGAAGACAGTTTGGTATATACTAAGTTTCAAAGAGATGATTCAGAGACAGATTTCGAGAAGTACAAGGTTTTCATATATTATCCAGTTACCATCATCTCTTTACCTCCTAATCACTTTCTCTCATCCTGCTACTTTGCTTAGCATTTAGCGGATGTATATTCCAAATAGTATAGTATGTATCTGAGCTCCAGCCCCCTTGAATGTGCACGACTCCCACTTAACATCTGGGCAATACCCCCTTCCAAAAAACAAAGTATAATAAAAAAAACCCTGAAAAGCACAGGGTTTCAAGAACTATTCCAACAGCAGAATGAAACCAAATATTGTAGTATGTGAATACAAGTGTAGATACTAGTTAAGAGAATAGGCACAAATGAATTGCTGATGATGCTTAGGGGCTACTTCCGGCTCAGTAATCATTGATCCATGAAATGCCAGCAGTTGAACATTACAATTCACTTATGGTAAGGCAAGTGCTCTACCAGAGTCATATTCCCAATCTTCACAAATTTATTATGGGCTGGAACAATGTTACAACAGGTAGGGCACTTACTTATGGCAAATCAAGGTTCAATTCCTGGCACCCCCACGTCGTCCTACAGCTCCACCAAGAGTGATCCCTGAATACCACTGTGTGTTACCCAAAAACAACAACAAAAAAATTGTTCCATTAATTTGTCTTTGGGCCATACTTATGCAATGCTGGTGATTAAATTTGGGCATCCCATATGCAAAGCGTGCACTCCAGTCCTCTGAGTTATTTCCCTAATCCCCATATATTTTGTTTTGTTTTGGCTTTTTAGGCGATACTTAACTATGCTCAAGGCTTACTCCTGGCTCTGAGCTTAGGGATCACTCTTGGCAGGGCTTGGGTAACCATATGGGGTACCAGGAATGAAACTCCAATTGGCTGTATGCAAGGCAAGCATCCCACCTACTGTACTGTCCAGCCCCCATTCCAAATTCTTAACCTGCAAAGTAACACGACAGTCATCCCAGATGTGTCAGAATACTGGAGAGTAAAAGGCAGAAGGCTAGAGCTCTATGGAAAGAAATAAAACAACTACATTCTAAATTTTTGCTTCAAATTGGAGCACATATGAGTAGACACAAACATACCAGTTTTTTTCCAGAACTCCACAGGTACATATCCTGTCCCTGGCCTGCTGTTGAATTCCCGCTGAGAATCTACAGAAGAGATAAAGAGCATAGAGTAAGAAGTTCTGTGCACTTGGCATTTTTATTTATATTTTTAAAAATTAACAACTTTATTTTGATTAAGCATATATGTCTGTTTAGTGCAAAAATACTCTAGTAAGGGATGAAATAAGATTAAAAAATAGCACATTTAAATTTTAATTTAAAAATACATACAGCCACACTTCAAATATTAACATAGTGACTAAAAAAGTGTGTTCTGGTTCTAAAATGCCATGCTTCCTCTGTATTGGGTATATCCTACCAAATCACAGACAAAAGGTAGATTGGGAGTACACTTACTCAAAATTTTACATTATTGGCCAACCCCCAGTACCAAACGTTCCCCCAAGCACCACCAGAGAGCAGCACGGTTGTGACCCAAACTCAGAATAAAGCCCCAAAACACATTTTTTCCCAATTGTATTCTGGGGCCAGTGAGATAGATAGCTGAAGGGTTGAGCAACATGATCTGTGTTCCAGGACATGGATTCATCCCTGGGATTGCACGGTCCCCTGAGAACTGCCAGGAGTGAGCCTTTCGAAGAGCTGGGAGTCGCCCCCAACCATCCCCCTCCTCCCCACCCACCCACCCACACACACACACACGCACGCGCGCGCGCACACGGGCACACATCCCCCCAAAAAAGAAATAAGCAAACAAAAACCACCCCCCCCAAACCAACCAAACAAACCAAAAAAAAGCAATGCAGAATTTGACTGGGAGATAGAATGGGGTTAAGGTGCTTAACCCCATTATATTAGATTTGCGTGCAGCAAATCTAATATGATCCCTGAACAGAGCCAAAAGTAATCTCTTAGTTCCACTAGGTGTGCTGAGTTCTCCAAACAGCAAAACAAAACAAACCGATAGAGTCTGCTTTTGTGTGTCTCCCAAGCACTACTCAGGGGACCTTGGGGCGACTCCTACCAATACTTGGCCAACAAGGCCTGACTGGTCAATGCTCAAGCGTGATGGTGTTGAGGACTACCAGGGCAACCACTGTGTGTTTGGGGGGGTCTCCAAATTCACACGTGATAGTGCTAGGGGCAATTTTACATGGCTGGAAATGGAATTTGGGTCCCTATACATGTAAGACATGTACCTTGACCAATAAACTATTCTCTAGCCCCAGAAATCAGTTTTAAATGACACTAGCAAGACTTACAATCATGAATGGAGAAGAGTAGACCCATGTCTACAGTTCACTACAATCTATAGCAGCTCACCTGTAAATTATACAGACTGAATGATAGACAAATAAAAAGGTCTGGGATTTGGATGGTGAACTTTGAATAAGTTTCCAAAACTTGTTATGGGGATAATTTGTGAGGTTCAGATGATGAGGGGCACATGATCATTCCATTTTTGTAAATGGAATCATTTTACAGCTCTAAGAATTCTTTAATGTCTTACTGTGTTAGGTATCTCACACAATGGTGCTAATTTATGGTAGGCAGAGTCACTCTATAGGCAGGGTCGGGGAATAGACTCTTGGTTAACAGTGGCTCTAACTCAAAATCCCCCCCCCCCCGCTTTTTTTTTTTTTTTTGATGGGACCAATGCCTGGGCACCTGGAGGGTGACTTTTGGTTATTCTGAGCCCAGTGCCCAGATGTGCAGACATGAGGGTTTTTGGCGCTTGGTACTAGTGATGTGCTGAGTGCTTGAGTGCTGGAAGCTGAAGAGCTATATAAAGCGGGCAGGGCTGGGAAGGTTGAGAATTGACCTTCATGCTAGATATGCAGCCAAGCCTTTTGACCTATCTCTCTCATCTCTGATTCAAAGTTTTTTGGTAGTCTTCTTAAGACTAACAGCCATCATCCATGAACATACTAGATCTGTCAAATGAATAGCTTTGCTCTCTCCAATGAACACCGAACCTGAAGTGGGTGGGTGACTAGGGAAGTCACATATCACAGATGGCTCCTCATATAGCTTGCTTTGGTACAGGGTACCTTTTCAGTTATGAGGTGAATGTGATGGAATATTTTAGGGGAACAGCTCTGGCATCCTGGATTGTGGCTGCAGTTATTTATAAATCTTCCACTTCATCTGAGAAAAAGTGAGACAGGATAATGAAGCTCTGGTGCAGTAAATAAGGCCTACCAGAAAAAGTCCTGACAAAGTAAAACTTTTTTTCTAAGAGGCTGCCAGACAGTGGGTGATAAATGCTGTTTTCCCATATGGGGCAGGGGTGTAGAGGATAGATGGTGAGGTAAACACTTTTAGTACTAATATGAGAAATAAATGTGATCTATACAATAGAGCCTAGTATAGCTGAATTTAACTACCAAACAATCTTTGATGATCACTGAGCATATAAATAAAGTTTAGAAACAGAACAAAAATATAATATTTCATTTTTCGTAAGGAATAATCACAATTTCCTGAATAATCCAGGTACTAGAAGTTAATGTATTTTCTTCTTCGTCGTCTTTTTTTTGCTTTTTGGGTCACACCTGGTGATGCTCAGGGGTTATTCCTGGCACTGCACTCAGAAACTACTCCTGGTGGTGCTTGGGGGACAGGGGATGTCAGGGATCGAACCCGGGACAGCTGCATGCAAGGCAAACACTCTCCCTGCTGTATCACTGCTTCGGTCCAAAGCTAGATGTATTTTCTCATTTACTTTTCATACTATCTTCATAATCTAGTATCATCTTTTAAGTAAAACAGGAAAAGCCTTCTTTGCCACATTAGATAGGACTCTCTCCTTACCACTGTTGAGAGAATCTGCATTCCCAGGACTGTGCTGCCTGGAAACCAACTCGCTCCCTGCTTTCCTCATTTCTGTATTTTCATTATAGCGCCTTTTCCAGTAGTTGAGTTCTTCACGATCAGATTCCTGACAGCGCCGAAGAACTGCCATGGAACGTCTTGTTTTTTCTACCATTTCCATAATGCAATTCAGGGCCTGAGTCAGAAAGGAAGTAAAGCAGAAATGGATGAGGACATTCAAACAAGCAACACTGAAATATCAAGAACAGGTTAAAAAAAAAGAAAAGAAAAAAGGTTTAAGTATTAAATAAGTTTAACAATATCAAATTTATATATTATAGCCCCTTTAAGTATTTTTAAATATAACACGTGTAATGCATTTCCCCCCACCAAATTTCAAAATAACATTTTTTGGATTCTAGCTGAAGCAGCTAAAGTCTGATTTTAAATGGAACGCTATCTATGAATCTATATCTATCTCTCTCATCTATCTATATCATTTTGAGTTTTGGGGTACACTTCAGTGGTGCACAGGGCTTACTCCTGGCTCTCTGTGCTTAGGGGTCACTTCTGGTAGTACTTAGGGTATCAGGATTTGAACTGGGGTCAGCTGCATGCAAAGCAAGCGCCTAGCCCCTCCACTTTATCTGCAGCCCTTATATGAGCCTTGAAGGAATATATGGTGATGTCCAGTGAAAGCATGAGAGGTTAATCCTGACAACAGTCAGGAGTAGCTCCTGAGCACTGTTAGGTATGGCCTACCTGTCCTTCACCCACCACACCAATATCTTCCCAGCCCTTACAAAAACCCCCCCCAAAAGATCAACAACCCCCCAAAAAAATGGTAGACCAGGAATGAGGAATGTAGCACTGTTAAAACTTCAGGCTCCACCAAGGCCTAAGTAAAATAGAAAGATAGCATAGTAGGTAGGGCGCTTGCCTTGCATGCTGCCATCCTCAGTTCAATTCCTAGCATCCCGTGGGCACCACCAGGAGTGATTCCTGAGAGCAGAGCCAGGAGTAACCCCTGAGCATTACTAGGTGTGGACCCCAATTACCGCCCCCCCCAAACAAAAACAAAATCCAAAAGATTTTAGGCTCTACATATATGGATTTCATTACTAGTAGTACCGAGTCTTCCTCCATTAAAAAAAAAAAACTACAGCATATAAATTTCATGGAGGCATTACATCTTCTCCCTCTGTTTAGTTGAAGGGAAGCTCTTTTTTTTAAAATTTTTTTTTAATTTATTTTTTTACTTTTTGAGTAAAAAACTTTTGGGCCTGGAGCTATAGCACAGCGGTAGGGCGTTTGCCTTGCACGCAGTCAACATGGCCGACCCGAGTTCGATTCCTCCGCCCCTCTCGGAGAGCCCAGCAAGCTACCGAGAGTATCTCGCCGGCACGGCAGAGCCTGGCAAGCTACCCGTGACGTATTCGATATGCCAAACACAGTAACAACAAAGTCTCCAATGGAGACGTTACTGGGCCGCTCGAGCAAATCGATGACCAATGGGAGGGCCTTTACCTTTACTTTTTGAGTTACATCCGGCAATGCTCAGGGGTTACTCCTGGTTCTGCACTCTCAGGAATTACTACTGGCAGTGTACTGGTGGACAATATGGGATGCTGGGGATCAAACTCCTGTTGGCTGCATGCAAGGCAAATGCCCTACCCACTGTGCTATGACTCCAGAAACTCTCTTTTAATGAGAGAGAAGTTCTATATTTTTATACCAGTTATCATATTTAAAGTACAAATGAAATAAAATAAAAATGAGTACATGTATTTAGCACTTCCTGCATATCAGATTCTGTGACAAGTTACATATGATTATGTTTCTCCAATGAATTCAGATAACATAGTGCTTTGTTTGTTTTGGACCATACCTAAAGGTGCATTCAGTGATTACTCCTGGCTTCATGCAAAACGATCATAGTTATACTGACTTCAAACATACATATTATTTCACTACTGGCAATATTAAGAATTAAAAGTAATAAACAGGAAAGTTGTACATTAAACATTCTTACATGATCAAGATGTTTCCATTCATCAGCCCATTCTCTTTCTGTCAAACGGTGGTCTACCAACTCATCTTGATAGCCTCCATTTAGACCTATTAGAAATTAGGGATTAAATTTAAATACAGAAAATAATAGAACAGATCAGAATTCTATCAAGCAAAACACATACAACCAAACTAATTTTGGCTCTCTGTGGGTCCCACCTGGCAGTGCTCTGGAACTTCCCTCAGTGTGTGGTCAGGGAAGAGTACGGTGCTGGGGATCAAACTCAGGTGAGAAACAGACAGCAGAAGTGACCACCACTCACCCCACATTGAGGCAGAAGCAGCCTCCAACACCTTTAAGTGTAGCCCAACACCTCCTGCCCGCCACCAAAAAAAAAAGTTTTCCTAAAACAGAAATACAAAACTGACAATAAAGTTATGATTTTTAGCATATTCTCTCCAAAAAGATCAACCTGGCAAAATAAAGAGAAATGGGGATGGGGTGTGAATAGGACTATTATCAATCAGCTTCTCAGGGAGGCATTATAACAAACCAGTGAATTCTGACACTTTGGGCATCAGACACTTGGAATCTGAATACTGTCTGTTACTTTCTAGCTATGTTAATTTGGTCCAAGTTCCTCCCTCTCTAATCAAAAGGGGATATCCCTGTTGGGAATGCTGTGAGGATAAAGCGATAAAGTAATTATACCACAATCTACATGGTATCTGAAGACTTGGTAAATGCTGGCATCTTAGAACATCACTGTTGTCATGATTGTACAATCCTGCTACACTTCTGAATCCAGGGTCCTACTGCGGTACAAGTCCCCAAAGGGGAGAAAAGAACCTCTGAGAGGCATGGAATAGTTACCATTTAATATTCCCTAAGATACTCTCTCAATGGAAATTTGGGGAGAACCGTGGAAGCCAGTAGTCTTTTAGTTCTCTCTTCAGATACATATTCAGCAGCTAAACTCTGAAAAATGTTCTGTGATTGAGTTTTGCTAGGGAACATTTTGGTTTCTTCCTAAATTTCTTCCTAAACATACCAAGGAGGCATATCCCAGACATTTCAAATGAAACAGTGACTCAGCACAGGTAACTTTATTTTTGTCATTTTAGAAATGAGTAATTTGAAGTTTAGAAAGTCAAAGAATCTTGCATAAGATCACAAAGATAAGTCAGGATGCAGAATCATGATACAAGTTTAGTCTGGGAAGATAGATCAGAGAACTTGGAACACACTTTGTGTGCATAAGGCATAGTTCACTCCCTAGCATTCTTTATTTCGTTGACCCCTAATACCACTGGGAGAGCATCCCCCCACAAAGGACTGAAATATAGATATAACTTATCTCCCCGAGCGATCTAAATATCCATACTTCCACTACAATGCCATATATTTTATGTTTTTATTGTTTAATTTAAAAAATGTTTTAGTTTGCTTCTTTGCCTTTCAGTCTATTTTTTGACCATTTGAGAATAAAGGTACACATATATTCTTAAATATTTCCTGTGGGGGCTGGAGAGAGTGTTCAATGAGCTGGAGTGTGTGCTTTGCATGAAGACCAAGTTTCAATCCTTGACATGATCTCCTGAGCACCACACAGGGAGTTGTCCCTGAGCACTGCCAGGTGTGACCTCAAAGAAAAAAACACCAAAATTTCATTATGCATGTCTGAAAATTCGTTTAATCCTATTTTATCCTATAATAATGGCTATAATGTATAAATTAAAATCTAGTCACATTAGATCAAATACAACTCTAATTTTGTTGCTTGTATTGGGGTCACACTCAGTGGTCCCAGGGGATCAGGTGGTGCTGGCAATTGAACTCAGGTCTCCAGCAAGCAAAGCTTGGTTTCAGTCCTTTAAGCCATCTCCCCAGCCCCTGTAGTATTCTTTTCTAAATATCATGTTACCTTTTACTTACTAGTAAAAGGAAACAATGCTATTATTTTATGATAGCATGATAGGAAATAAATCCAAGGATTCAATCTGAATTTAAGTCATTAACATTTTTGTTTATGTCACTTACTAAGATTGTGGTGTCTATCACGAACTTCTCGATGCTCGATTATCTTGTTCGGTTCACGATATAGGTGGGAAGTTGCAATATCTTCTAAGGTATAATGCTGAAGAGGAGGAGGAGTAGGATGGAACTGGGCTCCAGGGTTCATGAGTGGCACAGTGAGGGCAGGACTGTGCCGGGGAGCTGGACTGATGGTACATACTCTTTTGGCGGGAGGCTCAGGAGCAATGGAATCTCTTTCAAAACCACTCTCTTCCCTCCTATGAAAGCACCCGAAGAACATATCTGAACCCATCAATAAATGTTCATGTAACATATCAACGTTATGCTATATATTTTCACAAATAAAAAGACTATAAGGAAAGGTATAATATGAGGCAGAAATGTCTCTGGAAGTCATGCAGGCAATGGAAATTGCTGACTTAATCCATCTTGTGAAGTGATCAAATCTGTCCATCTAAACCCCACAAAGCAATGGTAAGACTAAGGAGATGACAGCACTTTCCTGCATGATAGAAATGTGGAAGGTTATGGTTACTTCCTACTTAACTAGGAACATTTTTTATTTTTTGCTTTTTGGGTCATACCCAGAAATGCACAGGGGTTACTCCTGGCTCTGCATTCAGGAGTTACTCCTGGCGGTGCTCAGGGGACCGTATGAGATGCTGGGAGTCAAACCTGGGTCGGCCGCGTGCAAGGCAAACACCCTACCTGCTGTGCTATCTCTCCAGTCCCTCTACAAACATTTTGAGGTCAAATTTTCTATTACAGAAGTAGTAAATAGAACAACAATTCTTCACATGGGAAAAAAAGGCTCACATAATTAAAGCACTTGTGAATTGGTGGATTTTCAACTATTTAGCTTTAATTTAAACATTTTTCATTGTTAAAATATTGCTTCTTTGCTACCTACATCTTTTTGACAAACCATAGAATAATGTCATTCATACTGAAATTTCCAGAATGACTTCACATAAATATTCTGAGTGACAGTGATTCATAAGCCAGTACCAAAATTGTTTTTGATTTCGGTTTTTGGGTCACACCTGACTGTTCTCAGGGCTTCCTCCTGGCTCTGTGATCAGGGATCACTCCTGGCAAGGCTAGGGGACCGATATGGGGTGTCAGGATTGAACCTGGGTCTGCCTCTTGTAAGGTAAGTGTCTCCATCCCTCTGGATCTTTGATATTAACTTTTCTAAAAACTTCTCAATAAAAGAAAAAAAGCCTTCTGTAGATAATATTTCTTATGGCTCTAGAGAAGTGGGTCCAGAGAGTACTCTGGAGCGAAGTTTTCCTCCAGGCAAGTGGACTGTCATCTGAAGCTTTTTGTTTCTGTTTTTGAAACACATTGAGTGATATTCAGGGGCTATTCCTAACTGGGTTCCTGGGGCTAGCTCTTGGTGGTGTCAGAGAATAAACCCAATCCTCTTCATACAATGCATATGCTGTAGCCCTTTGAGCTATTCCTCCACATCCACAAGTGAAAAGTTAAAAAAATAATACTGTCTAGAAGATTCTCCTATAGATTTGAGACAAACTCTGTTGCCTAATGTTGGGACAAAGCAAAACTAACCTTAGAAATGTTGAGACAGTACCTATCTGTAGCTACAGAAATCAAAATTTCTTTCATGATTTAAAATGTTTCAAAAAAGCATGGGAAACAAAGCACTTCTCATCTCACCTCTCTGGACTGGGCCTCTTTCCGTTTCCATGCACTTCCATGAGTAGCTCAGAAGAGTCAGCTGGTGAGGCAATACTCGTGTTGAGCAGAAGGTGTTCATGCTGTGCGAGGTACTGGGATGGGGTTTGTTTAGCAGCCCGAGCACAGTGTAGCAATTCCCGCTGCAGCAGAGGCAGGTTGGCCTTGAAAAGAGGAGGAAGCGGGAGGGAAACAGTTTGCTTGGTGGGAGGCCCCATGCAGCAGGGCTTAACACCTCAAAAGGCTTTCACAAACTGGATGACACATGACAAAAACCATCATTCCTTTTCAGTCTGATTTTCATATGTCTAAGAATAATATGACATTTATTCTAGTAATTAGAATTGGTATCTTTTACACTCGCAAGATATAAATTTCTTTAAGGAAGAAAGTGCTTTATCATTGTGGCCAAGTGCAGACTCAAAGTTCAATAAAGGTTTGTTAAACAGTAATTATAAAACATATTTTTGAAGACTAAGGACAGTTGGAGAAGTGTTTTTATCCCAAGGGAAACAAGAGCATATAAACGTTTTAATTTTGGGGGTACCATACCTGATGATACTTTGAGGGAAGTGTTCCAATATATCAATTTAGACTATCTCTCGGGCGGAAATGAAAGGTTGCTTTTGTTTGTCTTTTTGCGCAACACTCAGCTGTGCTCGAGGCTTATTCCTGACTCTGCACTCAGGGATCACTCCCGGCAGGCTCAGAGAACCATATGGCGTACCAGAGATAGAACCTGGGTCAGTCGCATGCAAGGAAAACATCCTATCCATGGAAATATTGTCTGGGCCTCACATATGAAAGTTTTAATACATGAAGTAGGCATCCCTTTATCAAAAGTTAACTGACTAGGTAACATATGAGTGACTTAGCTCTTTTTTCTTCCCCAGTTGTAGAGGCCCACTCCTTGCACTGCAGAGTCATCCCCAGTTCAATCTCCAGCACCACATATGGTTCTCTGCCAGGAATGGTCCCTGAGCATGGAGCTAAGAGTATGCCCTGGGCACAGCTAGGTGTGGCCCCAAACCACATCATCCACCCACATAAAACATCAGGATCATAAAAGGCTGAAATGCTGCTCTAGATTCAGCAGACTAGAAAGATATGAAAATGAAATGCAAGATGTAAATTACGCATACACACATATATAATATATACACAAATGTTTCTTCCTATTCTTTTTTTAAAAATTGTTTTTGGGCCACACTGGGGTTACTTTGGGCTCAAGGGTTACTCCTGGTTCCGCACTCAGGAATTACCTGTCGGTATTTGGGAGACTATATGGAATGTCAAGGATTGAACCCAGATTGGCTGTAACACAGTACCTGCTGTACTACCTCTGGCCACCACACAAAAGTTTTCTTTGCTATAAACTACATTAGTGTGACAACTGGTGAAACGTGAACAAAATCTAGATAACAGTGTTACATAAGAGTTAATTTATTGATTTGAAAATTGTACTATTTAGATATATCATGTCTGTAGCTTATCTACAAACAATTTTGAAGAAAAATATAATAATATAAGATAAACATAACATTAAAATGTGAAGAATCTGAACAAAGGGTATAAATAAATCCTATCACTTTAAAAATTGTGGGAGGCAATAATGTTTAAAAAAAAAACATTTTCCAGTGTTTGGGGCTATGGGTTTCATCTCTGGTACTACAAAAAAAGAGATGGAATATTCATTCCATATTAATCAAATACTGACTTACCAGGTAAGCTAATAATTTCAAAAACTGGGCTGGAGCAACAGTACAGCAGGTAGGGTGACTGTTTTATAAGTGGCCAACCTAGAGTCAATCTCCAGTATCCCAAATAGTCCCCTGAGATCACCAGCAGTGATTCCTGAGTATCACTGAGGATGGCCCTAAAACAAACTAAAAACAGGGGGGAAACCAGAGCAATAGTACAGTGGGTAGGGAGTTTGCCTTGTATGTGTCCAACCTATGTTTGATTTCCAGCATGGATGGGTCCCCGAGCCCCACTGGGAGTAATTCCTGAGTGCAGAGCCAGGAATAAACTGAGTAGCACTGTGTGTGATCCAAATCCCATCCCCTAAAAAGAAAAGTGTCTCCCAAATCAGAAAAAATTAATTACAGAGGACATAATCAGAAGTCAGACTAATTGGAATTAGGGAAAAAAAATCTTTCCATAGTTTTTCCTGACCTTGGGGTATTTCTAAACTGTAAAGGATTCTCATATAGCATATGTCTTCTTTTTTTAGGGGTGTGTATGTGTGTGTGTGGGGGGGGAGGTGTTTGGGCCACACTGCTCAGTGGTCACTCCTGGCTCTGAACTCAGGAGTCACTGAGATGCCAGGGATCAAATTCAGGTTGGCCGCATGCAAGGCTAACACCTTATCCACTGTACTATACCTCTGGCCCCGATAAAACATATAACTTATATTAAGGTATCTTACATTAAGATGGCCACAACTGATTTAGTATTCAGTTATTTCTTCTGCTAGATTCCAGTTTCCAGGCCATCTGCATATCCCATTTTCCTATAATCTGCCCCCTCATCCTAACTCTGTATGCTTTGTAACACAGACTACAACATAGGAATGCAGCAGTTTTCATCATATTAAATTTATGTGAGGACCGTACTCACATAACTTTACACTCAAAATAAAATAAAATAAAGATATAAAATGTGGTTGATTGCCCTAATTTAGCTCACTGAACAGGGATTAGTGCATATCTCAAAGAAATACTGAAGACAAATTACATTCATTAATGATACAAAAATTACCTTAAGGAATGGAATTACAAAAGGACGAAGAGGAAAGTTAGTAGCCTCTTGAAGCTTGCAATGGAATTCTTCAATAGTTACTGTTGAGTTCTGAAAAGAAAAATATAATATTGTTCAACTTCTAAAACTGGAAATTATCTTCCTAATATAAACCTGATAATGGAAAATGACAATTTTAAGAACACTGGTAAAGTCAAATTCCTGTTAAAGGTTAGCCAAAATCAGTATACTTTAAGAAAAAAATCTTAGTGATATTCATTTTCCCCCCTTCTGTATCTACTCTAAATTCTCTGTGCTCAAAACCCTGAGCTCCATAATCTTCCTCACCATCTAGGAAGACAGGCGATGAGGTCTCTTGTATTGAGGGAGTCACTGCAAGTCATCTCAGATACAGGAAACAAAGATGACAATATTTCCACTTGACTAGATGACAATTTAGTTCAGGATGTCAGTTTGAAGACTCAATAATCCAGCACTCCATTTTTTCATAAACCTATTTCTTCATAGGTTCTCCCTACTTTCTAGTGGCTACTCTCCAGATAGCCTTAAAGTTTAAAAAGTTGGTTACTTTATACCTCAATGTGGTCTGTTTGTGGTCTAAAGTGGAACCAGAGTTATAGCACCTCCAAAGCAGCAGAGTCCCACTGGTAAGACTGCAGTCAGAGAGATAGTTCAATGGTCTCGGGTACACACTAGGCATGCAAGGGGCTCATGTTCAATCTCTGGTACCACATGGTCACCGAGCACCACAAGAGCAAACTTTCTCTCACACACACATTACCTGATGCGCGCGCGCGCGCGCACACACACACACACACACACACACACACACACACACACACACACACACACACACACCCCATATCATTACCTGAAAATAATTTGAAGATTATTAGCACTTCCCTGGAACTTTTTTAAAAATCACGATTTTATTTTATTTACTTTTGGCAGTACTGGGAAATGAAGTCAGGGTCTCACACAAACAAGGTGAATGCTCTATCACTGAACCCATCCTGCACTCCTCAAAAGCCTGGCTTTAAACTAGAATTCTCAGGCCCTCTGCTATGGGAAAATACAAACATTTCCCCTCAAAGTTTACAAATATTTCAGTTCCCCTAAATGCAGTTTAATAATAAGTTAAAAAAACAATGGAACATCAATCTGATTTTCAATTTCCCTGAAAGGAAAATTACTACTTCTAGGATTTTCAATGATGTAACAAGCATCTTGTGGCAATTTGTAGAATTATTCATCAGTACAAAATTGCTTCTTTTATTTGATGTGTCTGTGTGTGTTTGGGTATTTATATCACACCTGGTGCTTGGGGACTATTCCCAGCTTTTTCTTGGTTATCACTCTCGACTGCTTGGGGAACCATGTGATGTCCAGGGTTGAATTGGGTTTGCTTGCATGCAAGGCACGTGCCTTAGCCTCTAATCTCTCCAGTGCCAATATTATTTCTTAGCAATTCAAAAATTTTAACTTATAGGCCCAGGGACCAAAGAGATAATACAAAGGTTGACTTGCAAGTGTCTAACCCTGATTTGATCCCTAGACTGTATCTGCTCCTCCAAGCACCACTGCCAGGAATGATCCCTGAACACAAAGCCAGGAGAAAGAAAGCACTGAAAACAAAAACAAAAACAAAAAAACAAAAGCCAAAAAGAAACTAAATGTAAGAGCAAGAAATCTGGCTTAAGAGGTAGAGCCTACATGTCATTTACATGTAGGAGCTTGAGGGCCTGGGGTTCTGTCTCCTGTACTACAATGTTCCCCCAACATCACAGCACTGCCAGGTGCAGCCCTTTTTGATCTCTGAAAACACCTACTGCAACGAATATAATCAGGCCTCAAGGAAAAATAAAAAACAAAAACAAAACCTCAGCCCACGCCCCCCAATCCATAACTAAAAAACAAAGAAACAAAAACAAGTAGTGAATTAAATCTATTCCATTTAATTCTATTAAATCTTGTGTGTGTGTGTGTGTGTGTGTGTGTGTGTGTGTGTGTGAACAATGTTTGTCCTTAGGCCACACACAGCAGTGATCAGGACTTACTTCTGGGTCTGCATTCAGGGATTACTCCTGGCAGGTCTTGGGGGACATACAGGATGCTGGGGATCAGTCTCCCTACTTGTTGTACTATAGCTCAGGCCCCTATACCAATTCTATTTCCCTAAGAACTAATTATTGGGAAAACAAACATGTTTATTTGTTCAGAAAAACTTAGGTATATAAATTTAGGGATACTATTAGTATACAGAGAAGATAGTCTTGAATCACACATTGGGAGAGAACAAAGCTTTGTGGAAGTGTCATCGAAAGAAGTGAAATACATAGGTCACAGAGATAGCTCAAGGGGCTGGATACATGCTTTGTATACAGGCAACGGTTCAGTCCCTGGCATTGCGTGGTTCCATAAGCATGGTTCCCTGACCAAAGAGTTAGGAGAAGCCCCCTAACACTGCTGGGTGTGGCCTGAAAACCAAACAAGCAAATAAATAAATAAAAAGGTAAAACTACAGCTGTGAGAAAGATGCTTCTGACAGATCAAGAATGTGGAAAAAAAAAAAGTATTAAAGGACCTAGTCTAGTACCTATAGTTACAAATGATCTTAGAAAACCAAAGGGTTTGGCCAGCCAAAATTTTCTTAAAATTTGATGCATTTCCAGTCATTCCTAGTTGTAAAAACTGTACAAATAGATTACTTATATGGTTACATTTCATATAATTAGAGTCTAACATAAAAGCTAAGAAACTAACATTAGTATAATCCTACAGTTTTCCGTCTCTTTATTGCCATGTGTATATTCATGTAACCACCATCAAACAAATCAGGACACCTTCTCTACCTGTATATAACTGTCTGAAATATTTCCTTTATTTTGAGTGGGTTGGAACACATTCAGTGTTGCTCTGGATTTACTCCTGACTTGGGGGGAACAACATAATACTAGAAACTGAACATGGGCCTCCTGTATGCAAAATATACACTCCAATCTGTTACACACTCTCTCCAGCTTCTGTTCAGCCTAATTTTAAATCTGTAGGTTTAAATCTTCTGTCAAGTTTGGAAATTTTCAACTATTATTCGTTATATACAGTAACAATACCAGATAGTTTTCTAATTTTTGCTTCTAATGTCAAATGATTTATTAGACAGTTCAAGAGAAATAAAGTCTGTTTTATTTACCTAAGTTATAGTTTTTCATATGAAATACCTATTTTTAATTTTTTAAATTTTATTTTAGACTGTGTATTTTATAAAACTTTTATTCGTAAGTTTCAGGCATAAAACATGCTAGTACCACACCCTCCACCTGAGTATACTCCGTGGCCACTGTCCCAATATCTGGGTCTTTCCATCCCCCCCTGTGATAAGTTTCCTACTAAAGACCAGTTCTGAATTTCTTTTTGTTATTCTGTTTCTTTATATCCTTCATATGAGAGAGATAATTCTGTGTCTGTGCCTGTTCTTTTTAAAATTTTTATTGAATATTCTTGGGAGAGACCATTACAAAGCTGTTCATGATTGGGTTTCAGTCATACAATGTTCCAACATCCATTCCACCACCAGAGTTCATTTCCCACCACCAATGTGGGTCTGGCCAGAGGCACAGAGACAATTCTGGGATATCAGGAAGCCTGAAGGCACCATCAGGCTGCTGCTGCACTTGCCTTGCAGGTACAGGCTAACCTGCTGGTTTCCTGGTTACCAGTTCCCTCTCACCATCACCCCTACACCCTTACCCACCAGCCTGCCACTAAGGCAGGCACATTTCCTCTTTCTCTCTCTCCTTTTGCAATATAGGTACTAAGAATAATTGTGTTTGTTCAGAGTGTTCAGTATTTTTATTGGAAAGATAAGGCTGGAGTAGCTTTTTTAACAGAATGGGAGCGTTGGGGTGTGGATGTGATTGTTGAGGTTTGCGTTAGTACAGGGAGGTAGCCCATGCCGACTCCGAGAAATCCTGGAGATTTCTATCATAAAACCTGCAGACCCAAATTTTCAGCAGATTCTATCTCAGTGAGATCTTTCCTGAGACGGTGAAGCCTGGTCTAGGGCATGGTGGCAATTTTGGATTGTGGAATCAAGTGGCTGCCAGGGGCTCTGGTTAGGTGGGCACCAGACTGACCTGCCCCTTTTGATTTACCCTGGTCTATTCAACTTTGCGTGGGTCCAAAGTTAACTGTGGCTTTTGTTATTTTTCAATATTTAGACTGATAACTGAGTTTGTATAGCTGAGCAGAGGTGGTCTGCGGGCGTGGTTTCCACATGCCTAAATTTTGACTGTTAAATTTCTTGGGAAACTTGGTCCTGAGTTGTTGGGGTCTGGCCAGAGGGACAGAGACAATTCTGGGGTATCAGGAAGACTGAAGGCACCATCAGGCTGCTGCTGCACTTGCCCCGCAGGTACAGGCTAACCTGCTGGTGGCACTGCACCCCCCTGTGCCTGTTCTTGTTATTAATTTCACTCAGCATAATACTCTCCATATCAGACCATGTAGCAGCAAATTGCATGACTTCATCTTTTTTCATAGCGAAGTGGCATTGTATACTTGGCTATAAGTATACAACACAGACATTGTATACTTACAATATACAATTGAATATTGTATATACAATTGTGCATATGTACCGTAGTTTTTCTCCAGTCATCTGTTCATAGACACTGGGCTGTTTCCAGACTGGTTACTGTGAACAGTGCTGCTCACCTAATAATTTTACTCTCTCCTTTTAAGTATTTCCTTCCTGTTTTAAGAACTTTCACCATTCCTTCAGAATAAAGAGAAACTTCTTTATTTCATCTAAGAGATCTTGATCCCTGACCCTTCATTTGAGAAAGGCAGTTCCCCTAAGACGGAAGATTCTGATTAAATAGTTGAACAACTTCCTTCCAGCCTCCATGTTTATTAATGAGAAGAAGTCCACTGTCACTGAAGTTTTCCCTTTCTAGGTAAAAAGTTTCTCACTTGGATTTTAAACCTTTCATCTTTTTGGCAGGGTGTAGCTTTTTCTTCTGTGTGATTGGTCAGCTTTTCCCCCCTCCTGACTTCTGGGTCACATTTAGTGAGACACAGGGACCACT